CCCCGAGAACTTTGCAGCACACCGGTGTTAAGTTGTCCCAGTCATGCGGGATACTTATGCATGTGCTAAACTTCTTGCATCGTGGACTCATTTCGCCTCCATTTCCCTCTCAAGATAATGCCACCTGAACGCTTGCAGTCAGTAGGACTGAATAGAGTGACTGGGTGACTGAGGACTTAATAGAGTGTCACCCATAAGGGTGACATGGAAAATCGTATCCCAGGGCCTGGAGTCGTTTAAAGCTCTGGGATGGGCAGAGACCACCAAGGAAGAACAGGAATGAACAGAGAGATACAGAGGCCCCCCTGTCTTTGAATACACTAGGAGTGAGCTTGCAGGGTGGAAACTGGGGCTACCTTCTGTCTGAGAGCCTGGGATGAGGAGTGGACAACGCTCCTCTCTCTTGTGAGTGCATTTTTCTCGTAGTGGTAGATGATCAGAGGAGCCCAGAGGCCCATCATCACCTGGACAAAGCCTGCAGAGTTAATGGACAAACTTTAGCCTAACAGACAAAAAAAGCTGTCTTGGGCATTGGAAGCAACCCCACCTGAGTTAAATACCCCTTTTGAGAAGCAAGGAACCTTAGCACGGATAATCTTGCACTTAAGGGACTGTTGCTTCTTCAAGATTACCTCTGCATCGTGCTACATCATTTTACATAGGTGTCCTCTCAGCCATCACCTTATGGCTGCCCTTGGGCTCTAATAAAATGTTTATAAACCTGTACTAGGCTCTGAATTCCATTTTTAGCGATTTTGTCAGTTCCGAACACAGGCAGTTATAGGCAATACAGACTTTATCACAACCTGATATATGGCATCATTTAGTGTGCCATCTCCAGGGAGACACAAATATACACCAGTAATCCAACACGGCAAAAATAATCCTCCAAGGAAGTTAGAGAAGGAGCAATGAGGATGGATAAGGTATCCAGTTATCCTAGGAGAGTATTATACATGCTGCTGAAAACTTCGTATGACACAAATATGAACACAGACATGATCTTGGTGGGGGAAAAATGGGCTTACACTGTGCTTTGGTGTTGGCTTTTTTGTTGCATTTTGGGGTTCGGTATTTTTTTTTCCTGTCATTTTCCCTCTCCTCCCCCAAATATGAGCAGGAGTTTCACGTGCAGAAATATAAGAATCTATCTCTGTGTGGTGACTTGCAAATTCAAGTGCCGTTGCCTTTTTCTTTGCTCTGTTTGCAGGTTATTAAATGCAAAGCAGCAGTAATGTGGGAATCCAATAAACCATTTTCTATTGAGGAAGTGGAAGTTGCCCCACCAAAAGCACATGAAGTTCGCATAAAGGTACTAAAAATAAAACAACTATTATGACTTGCATTCTATCTCGCTGTTCATCAGAATTATTTCTATAGATTTTTAGGATCCAGTTGGAAAACATTCACTAGGTGAGTAGTTACTATTCAGTGAGCTCAAGTCCTAAATTTGATCATGAGGTTCTTTCTTTAAAAAAATAAAAAGTTTTTCAGGGTTGGGTTTTTTGTTTACTAAGACACCTGTGCTTCTAATAGGCTGAAAACATTACAGTACAAGGCAAAAATCTGAATCTCCTATCGCATGGAGCAAGAAATGCTCTTTTACTTTGTTTGAATCTGTGCTAGGAAGTAGCTCAGTAGGGCTGGGAACTTCCTTTTTTAACTGGGTATTGAGCATCTGTTACATTTCAGGAACTTTCTCTGTGGAATTCAGCAGCTGTTTTCATTTTAGAGCAAGTTTCAAGTGTTACACAAGTGAGGAGAACACGCTCATGGGGCTGACAACTCCATTTGTCAGAACAAAAGTTGTAAAGACATACCTGAATGTTTCAAAAGAAATGCTGCTCTTCTACCTGCAAGAAAAGGCAAAATGTGATATAACATACTATGTGTAGCCTAAATTTTTGCATATATAACATATACGTATATTTAAAATACATAAATAATTACAATGTAATTGTATATAATACCATTGTATAATACATATTTTATATAACATATCTATTATATGATATATTGTGATATAATCTAAATATAAGGAATATAAAATATGTATTTCTATGTTTATAAACAATATGTGATAGTTAATTTATATTTACATAATTTTGTAATATTTCTATAGTATTACAACCTTTTTCTATTTATGTATGTATATATAGATATTAGGAATAATTTATTTTATTTTGTTCTTCATATATAATTGTGTTGCTAGAACATGGGTTCTGCCAGATAATCAATGAGACTCCCTACAGAGCTCAGTATCACCAAGGAGCCTTGCTTTGTAGATTAAAGACCATGAAAATAATGAATCACGCAACCAAAAGTGTTTTACCTGTAGATTTATTGTGTGCATATGTGATTTTGGAGGGAAGTAAGTGACTTCTCCAAATACATGATACCATTTCACTTCCGCATATGATGTGGCATATTTAAATGCTGAAATGTTCTTCTCTTTCCTCTAAATCAGATTGTGGCCACAGGGATCTGTCGCTCTGATGACCATGTGATAACTGGTGGACTCATTATGCCTTTCCCAATAATTCTGGGGCATGAAGCAGCTGGTGTTGTGGAGAGTGTTGGGCAGGGAGTAACTTCGATCAAACCAGGTATGAAACAGCACTGAACACAAACCCTGTGCTGAGTTTCCAGACTGTTTAAGTCAAAGATGAGTACATGTGTGAGTACTTGTGTGGCAGAGGAAAATGTTCCAACTTTGAGTTTTTTCAAGGATACCTTAAAGGACACTACATGCTGTTTACATATTTCTGTGTTCCCAATCTTGATTTATTTTCAGATTTTCTATTCAATTTCTTTTGGTTTTGGCAAAAACATCTGCAGCTTGCTTTCCACCTACATAGCGCTTTTCCTGTCACAGGATTAAGAACATAGATTCTTTGCTGTTGGTCATAGAAGATCAGGTATTAGCTGCAGGTTCTTTAAACACAGTTTACACAGCTGATCTCTTTCAAGAATAAGGCAAAGCACTAGACAACACGGCAAAGCACCTTCTTTCAATTCTCCTAACAGCCAAATAATCCATTGACTTCAGTAGACCAGACCTTAGGTCTGTGCGTTCAATGACTTCACTTTAAAGGTATGAGAGCATAACCAGGGTGCCCACCCTGCTGCAGCCTTTGCTTGTGCGCAGCACCAGTGCAGGTGAGTCAGCACTGCTCACTGAGGGCTGGGTGGCTCTGAGGACACTTATTGGGACCAGCTGCTCTCGCTACACTCTACACAGTGGATAGATAGAGAAGTCAGTGAAAGATGCAGATTTTCCTCCAGTTGCTGCAAGATGAGGTGGGATTTCTATACGGGACCGAACACATTCTAATAAGGGGTAAATTATTAAGACAAAATATGCAGTGAACAAAATCTGCATAGAAATGCTCCATTTTATCCAGGCAGTTTGTTACAATACCTAAGTAGTTCACTTTTAACACCTCCGTACTTCTAGTGTCTTTGTTCATACTGGCAATGAGTATGAAGTCTGTCCAAAGCAGGTTGGTATGTATGATAAGAAAAAGTTTTATTACAGATTTCTGCTTTAACTCCAAACAAATGTGTATATTGCAAATTTCAGTGATAGCTCTAACTGCTTCTTCTCTTATGTCAGTGTTCATACATCCCTCTGTTGTCTAATTCTAGCTGCCATGTGCTTCCAGGTGAGCAGCAGGCTTGAACTCACACACGCACACACGTACAAAATCACGTTTCTCAGATGCTGCTTAATTTACGCCTTCAAGTTCTAAAAAAGGCTCCAAGACGTGCAAAGTTTCTTTAGCAGAATGATTACTAAGCCCATGTCACAGTTCTAAGTTAACTGAAGGTCGAGTTAGTGGGGGCATTTCATGTTCTGTAGGCATTTTCCATTTTTTAGTGGAAATCAAAGATTTCCCTTGACTTTCAATGTGTCAAGGATTAGCTACATTTTAGAACTGCCAAATCACAAATTGATCTGTATTGGGGATTACCTGTTTTGAGATTATTAGGGATTTACCATACATTGTTGCTGTGGCAAGTGCGTAGCAGTAAAAAATTGCACTGGGAAGCTATGTGCTACTTTGTTATTCATATACTTGCCCTAGGGAATTAGAGATGTTGTCTTGGCTTGCATGTGTCGCTGCTTCTCTGACAAACATTTTACCTACCTTTACTCCAACGCAACAGGAATAGGACTAGAAATAGGAAAGAGACTCAAGAGGGCTGGCAAATTAATGTTTAATTTCCCATTCTTTGTATGCATAGTTTACAGCTCTGTTACCTTCGCACTCCAATCTGCTGTCCTACTGGATGGCAATTTTTATCTCAGTTTCTTTAACTGTGTATTACTATTTTCCTTTTAAGTAGAAGATGCAATAAACTGCTGAATGAGTACTTTGGGAATGTCAGTAGCTAACACGGTTTTGTGACATAGCTCAGACTCAGTTCTATGAAAGACACCAGGAATTTTGCATATTGAAATGAGTTGTCATAACTTTGCCCTAATGATGTCCTTATAACAGAGAGAGATGGTTTATCTTCCAAGGGCAGCAGAAGGAAATAAAACCAGCACTGCGCTCCTAGTGCACATTTGCCTAGGAATTAAATACACTTGCTTCATGTTTTTACCTGCATGCTTCTTGTCTGCCTTTTTTAATGCTCTGTCATTACTGTTCTGTTTCTAGGAGACAAGGTTATTCCACTCTTTGTTCCACAATGTGGGGAGTGCAGCAGCTGCTTAAGCACCAAGGGTAATCTGTGCCGTAAAAATGAGTGAGTTTTCCAGGGTTACCTACAACCCTTATTTGATTTTTATTTATACAAAACTGATCACATTCAACAGATTTCACTTGCCATTATTTCTGGTCATCTTTCAAACAGCATTGGTTCAGGTGCTGGATTAATGCCTGATGGCACCACTAGATTCACCTGTAAAGGAAAAGCAATTCACCATTTTATTGGTACAAGTACCTTCACCGAATACACAGTAGTGCATGAATCTGCTGTAGCCAAAATCGATTCTGCTGCTCCTCTGGAAAAAGTTTGTCTCATTGGCTGTGGATTTTCAACTGGTTATGGGGCAGCTGTGCAGACTGCCAAGGTAAGTGTCGTGGTGGGTGTTTCTGGTATCTGATGGGGTCTGTTCAGGATTGTGTGGCCTGCGAGCCGGTCATCAGCATGGCAGCCAGGAGGTTGAATTCGGGGTGGAAAGAAGATACTAGTTCTTTGCCTACTTCAGTTTCTCTGTCTCTAAGGTACTCGGAAGTCTTCAGTTCAAAATCCAGTAAAAATACTTATTACCATCTACTAAGTTTTCTGTCATAGCTTTATCACCCCTAGAAAAATGTTACAACAGAGCTGATTTGTTTTATTGTAACATAAGTCTAGGAATACATGGAAGCCTATGTATGCAACACTCGTAATTTGTAGCAATACATGAATGTGACTTTTACAACTGGCACTGTCTCCAGTGGAGCGACACTACAGATCTTAACACCACTGGAATATAAAGCATCATTAAAAAAATGTATCTCTAAACGTGGAGCTGCGACGCGTAATGAAAGCCTGGTCTCAGAAATGTATTTTAGGGACAATATATCTTAGTTGCATGTAGGATTATAACAGTATAGCTGGCTACTGCACTAGTAGGTACGCATATGCAAATTCCTTCTCAGCAGGTAATCTCTAAATTACGAGAAGTGGCTTAAGTGAAAACATGTTGATAATAAGAAAATGCATTGTACTTTACCTAGATTGTAACAGTATGCCATGTTTATATGGTTATTATAGGTGGAACCAGGCTCCACCTGTGCCGTCTTCGGCCTCGGAGGAGTTGGGCTCTCTGTTGTCATGGGCTGCAAAGCAGCTGGAGCTTCCCGCATCATTGCCATTGATATCAATAGCGACAAGTTTGCCAAGGCCAAAGAGCTGGGAGCCACCGACTGCGTCAACCCTAAAGATTTCAAGAAGCCTATTCACGAAGTGTTGATCGAAATGACTGGCTGTGGTGTGGACTACTCCTTTGAGGTCATCGGCCGTACCGAAAGCATGGTATGCAACCAAAAGATGTGGTCAAATGAGGCAATACCTTGTTAGCTCTCTCTTTGCTAACCCACTAAGCACCAAGGGCGAGGAGCTGCGAGCCACTGGCAAAGTGCCAAGCTAACTTCAAACCTGTTAAGTCCAGCTGCCTGCCACTGAGATGGCAGGGACAGAAGCACGCTCAAAAACTTAGGAAAAGGAACTTCAGTGTAGTCCCCTGGCCTAACCAGGGTGGCTAAATTTCACGTAGCCCACTATCCGCTTTCCAACAGCGGCTTATCACTAATGACTAAGACAAAATGGGGAAGGAGAACAAAGCTAGGACGTATCTAACCCATGACAGCAGATACAATGGTGTGAGCAGATACAATGGAAATTGTCTGATGTGGTTTCAGGTACAAAAAATGAATTGCAGGCTGAACCCTGAGAGGAGGAGAAGGAATTCAAACTTTTGTTTCCCAGTGGTAAATCTTGCATGACTCTGGGGTGCCCCTCTGTTTCAAATGCAGGCGGCAGCCTTGGCGTGTTGCCAATACAACTACGGAGTCAGTGTGATTGTGGGAGTGCCCCCTGCAACACAGAAGATCACTTTTGACCCCATGCTTCTCTTCACTGGTCGCACCTGGAAAGGGTCCGTCTTTGGAGGTAAGGACTTGGAAAGATGTGATTTAACTGGCTTGGGAAACTTGTAAATCACATTGAATGAAATGGGATCTATCTAAATTCATTGCTTAGGTTTTCCTGTTGGAAGTAATATTGATAACTGTTTTGCTGACAAAGGGAATTAATTATGGGAACTGTTAGTTAATGGTGAGAGGAGAGAGAAAAACAGACAGGGAGGGAAGGGGGAAGAAGGGAGAGAGAAGAAGAGGCAGAGAAAGGAAGAGATAAAAAGACAAAAAATAGAGAAAAGGGGCGGGGGAAAGAGGGGAAAGAAAATGAAGGGAAAATGAGAAAAAAAGGGGGAGAGAGAGAAAGGTAGAAGGAGAGAGAAAGAAAAGGAGGGGGAGGGAGAAGAGGAGAGAAAATAGAGAAGAGAAAAAGAGATAAGGAGAAAGAAAATGAGAAAGGTGAGAGAAAAGGACAAAGGGAGAAAAAGACAAGAAAAGATGGGAGGGAGAGGAGAGAAGGAGGGGGAGAAAAAGAGCAAGAGCAAAAGGGAGAATGAGAAGGACAGAAAGAAAGAAAAAGAGGGAAAGAAAAAGGAGAGAGCAGGAGAGATGGAGAGTCAGGACCCTAAAGCACATCGGGGGGCAGACCCACCTGCTTTCCACATAGGTCAGACCCCAGCTCAGCCCCTTGCCAGCTGCCTTCAGTCCCTTCCAGTTCTTTCTCTTTTCTGAGCTCCCCCAGCAGAGTCCCGCACTCAGCAAGCCCTAGCCCACTCAACACAAAGCTGAAGGCCACAGAAAACTTGTTTCCAACAACAGGTTTTCTCACTCACAACCAGTTCCTCTGATGTATTCCATAGACACCTGAATAGAATAGCAGAGACAAATTAGGTGCCTCTCAAAGGGCATCCTACTATTTGAGCCAGCTTTATCTAGTACTGCTGTAGAGACACATCCACACCCGCTCCCCCCGCGCCCAGTTTTGACCAGGCAATCGAGTTTCCAGTTACTAACATGGATGTCAGCGCTCTGGCTTTTGTATGATGTGTGATTTAGTGGGCAATGTATCAATAGACAAGTTGAAACAGTATTTAATGTGGGGGAAAGTTTGGATTGCGTAAAGATTCAAATTTCTACTGGTCTTCTACCAGTAAAGCACTTACTGGGTTTGTCATATGTACAATAGCTGCGCTTCATCCCATGTTTCCTGCTGGCACTCTGTGTTACAAAGGTAAAGACATGCTGCAACATTTCATCATGCTATTCTGCTATAGAAAGTTTATCTAAAAATTTAAGCTGCCGTAACTTTTATCTACTTTCACAAGCATTTGATGTTTCATTATCCATTGTCTGTGGGTTTTTTCAGGATGGAAGAGTAAAGATTCAGTCCCTAAACTGGTTGCTGACTACATGAAGAAAAAATTTGTTCTGGATCCATTAATAACCCACACGCTTCCTTTCACTAAAATCAATGAAGGATTTGATCTGCTAAGGACAGGGAAGAGGTAATCATTGTTTAATTGTAAAGATTCTATATAAATAGCCTAAAGGAGCTGCATGGTAACACAGAGCATGACTTCATGGCAGAGAACTGGGAAGGCAACCCACTATGCCCCTTAATCTGGCCCAGTGTGCGTCCATGGCTTGCAGCTGGAGTAATAAAGCCAGCAAAGCTTTAGCTTTTGAAATGCAGTGGGCCCTGTCTTTTTTTGCAGAGGAACTTTCAGCTTCTGGTTTGAGCAAAGACTCTGGGTGGCAGAGGGAGAAAAGACCGCACAAATGAGGAGGTCTCTGCCCGCTACCCATTGGAAAAGAGCACGCAACCAAGGGAGCCTGGCAATGCCAAGCTGTAGAGTGCCAGGGGTTAGTTAGCTACATCGCATTCCAAGGAACGTTTTAGGATGAGGAGCGGGAACACAGAAATGGCCCATGTTTACTGGAAGAGCAACTCACCATTCCTCTGGTGAGTTAGGGAACAGAGTCCCAGTGCAATTAGTCCTAAAGTCACTGGGTAGTTTACCTTGAATTTCAGAGCTTTTCAAAAAGGAAGGTACTGGGTGTATATCTACATTGCAAACTCAGAATTTAGCTCTCGTGCGTTCCTCAAATATTGGGAGTTCAGCTCAGCCTCTGTTTTCATAGAGTGTTGAAATCGGAAATATTGTTTGCCAGAGACATTTGACAGGATTCACCACGGGAATAATTGAAAATTCTCCTGGGCAGAAGTGGGAAATACATTTGTATGTCTTAGTATGTGTGGGGACTACCCTTTTTCAAAGTTCTAGCTTTTTATAACTTACACGGTCTGGAGAATTACATTCATGTTTTCTTTTCGTTGTCATTTGCTAGCAGTTACTTTAGGTGTTACTTGCTCTACATGTAGAAAGCACGTAACAGAAGAATTTAGCCCCTGAGGGTTGTTCTCGGGTTCTAACTATGCAGCACGCACTTCATTTTTTGACTGTCCCTATTTTAGATGTGCTGTAAATGTTAGTTTTAGATTTTTGTGTAACAAACGGGAAAGTGGTGAGGACAGAGACGCCATCAGCTCAGCTTTGCTCAAATACTGACAGTCAACCTGAAGACAGAGGCATATTGCAGCTGACTGTTTTTACTAAGTGAAACACTTCAGTGTTTCAGCCCAGAATAAGCTGTACCATTCAGAGATTACCCTTACAGCCATTTGTAACTGGAAAGATGTGTCTGAGCCCGCCTCCAAGGACTTCCCACGCTGTATTTGGTGATTAATTGCCGGTAGCCCTGGCTTCATGAGTGAAGGCTTTGCAGTCTTGCATGAATTTTGTTCTCTGCGTCTGCAGCAAGGTTTGCACATCTGCTCTGGCATTTTGCTGCAAGCTGGGGTGGGGAGCAGGGAAGGAGTACCCTGGTTGACAGCAATAGCCTAGATCAGCGATAATAGCAGTGTTTTGCTGATGTTAGCCTGGGGCCTTTTCTACAGTCACTAACTCATCCTTTTATATTGCAGTATTCGCAGTGTCCTGGTGTTTTAGGTTTCCCAACTGTTAAGAAGCAGATGGCTCAGCACCAGTACAAACTTCATTATCCTCCAATACACCAGATATGAAATACAAACCAAGACATTTCTGAAAGGTCTACCACCACCACCCTTGAATAAAAGGATCAAGCTCAAACCCTAGACTTTAAGCACAACATTTATAAATGAAAAAATCTTTTTCCTCCTGTCTCATTCTCCTGATTCGTGTTTTAAGTCCTCTGTATTGCACTGCAATTTTCTTCTAATAGCCAGTTATGAATTACAGGTGTTATGAAAGGTTTGGATTTTATAAAATGGCTTTTAATGTGCAATCTTTGAATAAAAGAGAAATGAAGGAAACTCTTTCTTTGGGCCTTCATAACACTGGAAGCTTAACAGATTTGTGCACGCAGCTCAGCACAGTAAAACTCTAGGTCAGCACTATCATTATCCTGAATGATTTTAGCATTCCATTACCTGATAGGCAAGGAAATTACTGCAGAGATTAAAATTTATGGTGACCATGTGTTTGAATTAATAATTTCAGTAAATTATATTTAAGTAAATCATAGACTTAGGTATTAGAGAATGTCTCACCACTGGATATTTTACCAAATTAACACTTCCAAGCATTCGATATAAAACTGCTGTGGTGGTGTTCGGTGTTGTGGTTTGGCTCTTTTCACCTTTCTACCTCTTTCTTGGGGATGTTTTAGTTGTTTTATCAGTATGGTTTTACATCTTTGGCCAATTTATACAAGTGCATCTCACACTTGCGAAAGAATCAGAAGAAATATGAATGTGCATCAAGTATTGTTATGTGTTTCCACTAAATAAAAGGGAGGTTTCTTAACCTTTAAGTGTGAATACAGAGTAAATGGGAAGAAACAGGTGACTGGTTAACAGTTTGCAAGAAATCAAACATTGAAGCATCTTACTGCTTTCTGTGTTTGTAACGTGGAAACAGGAACAGAGGCTATTTCTATCTCGGCCAACATGGTCAACAGTGACTTACCTTTTGAAGGTATTAATCAGAGCTTGCTACTTGTGTGTATGGTAGCTGGGTAGAAGAACCTGTGAAGTGAGGGGACTGTGTGCTAATGACGACTTGTTTGTGTCAGCAGAAAGAGTGGCCCAGCTAGGTTAATGATTTGAAAATAAGTTTACCAAGAGATTAGACTTTAACAGAAGAAGATCCTTAAACACGCGTGTCTATAAGAAACTCAGTTTACATAGCAATTAAGACCCAAACTTCAGTCATTTGTTTCTGTGGGGTTATCTGTGCAGTCAGGTCTGAAGATTCTTTCTGGACCACAAAATAATTCTTTTCAGGTGCAGTTCAGTTGAAGAGTTCTGATCTCTTTCAGGGCAGGTTGTGTGGGAACCAACAGCGTGAACTGGATTACTGTGTAAAACAAGGAGAGGCGGGTTTAATTCCACTTAATTGATCTCATCTGTAGTAATGTGGATTCAGCAGAAACAAGAGCATAACAATATCTCAATTCTCAGAGTATTCTAACAAAATATTTTCTGTGGAGGCCAAGCTAGTTTACTGTACCAGCTAAGGTATGTTTAACTCATGACCTAGAAGCCAAAGAAGGCCTGTTTAAACATAGCTTGTGAGGACAGAAAGGAGTACAGAGAGGTAAAGTATCCTCCATGTGCCAGACGCATGTTTTTTTCAAGGCATTCCCCATTGCATGAAGGGTAGAGAATATAACAGCAGTCTTCAGAGTATAAGGAGAAAAAAACGGGCTGCCCAGCAGCACTTCCACGTGCCTGCAGCCATGGCCACTCCACAGGGCCACCACGTCCCGGGCAAGAGCTCAGCCAGCTGTAGGGGCACAGCAGAGCTGCCGGTCTGCATCAGTGAAGCTGGAGACAGGGTCAGGGGATTTGGGAGCTGGGGGTTTGGTCTAACAACATCAAGTGCTGCTGCTGCTGCTGCTGCTGCCCCTCCCCCTCCCCCATGAAGCAGGGCTGGGACACGCGCTAGTGAGCGCCCGCACAAACCTCTCCAGGCAACCCCTGAACACATAAACCGGGGGCTGACGTCTCCCCAAGTGCAGAAGCAGTTCCCAAGCCTGAGGGTGACACACGGGGTGCTCATCTCAGCCTGGTCCTCCAACAAGGTCTCGCTCATCCAGTCTCCTATCAATCACCTCGCCCGATGCCTCAGAGAAACAGCTCTGTGGGAACCAGGAGAGCCCGGGGCAGTGAACCCCCTCGCAAACCTGGTTACACACGAGTGAACAAATGTGTCCTCGGAAAGGCCCCCCTTCCTGACACATTCTCCCCTGACTACCCAGGTGAAAATGGCTGCTGTACCATGGAGAGTTAAGTTTCACTCCAAAAGGGCATGCATGTTTGCCTTTTTTTCCTTCCTTTTAATTTTTAATCCGTTCGCAAACACCTTGGCGTGAACTGCTGCCAGGTCAAACGCTACCCCTTGGCAACAAGGGGACCCCGAGGGGTGAATCTCCTCCCTCCGCACCTGCCAGAAGCAGCCAGGGGAGAAAAATCTCCCTGAGCTCTCTGTGCCTTTTAGGCAGGGAGGGCAGGGCACGGCCGAAGGCAGAGACACCAATAAAAGCCTTCCCGGAGGACGACTGCTCGCTCCCCGTGGAGCGGAACTGCTCCCCATTGGCCATCTACCCAGCTCCTCCGCTCAGCACTCACTGTGTTCCTCAGTGTCCGGCATCGGCACAGGGTGACCGCCGCTCCCCGCGCTCCGGCGACGCTCCCACGCCAGCACTCCCTCCACGCTCCCGGCCTCCCCTCCAGCTGTGGCCGGCAGCTGCCCAGGAGGCCTCCGAACCCACGGCTGGGCTGTTTCGTAACACGGGCCTTCGGCGAGACGGGCGGCAGCTTCCCTCCAGCCTGCTGCAGCGACGGCAACAGCTCTGCTAAGACCACATGGCCACTTCTGGAAAAGTAAGGACCACTCCTTTCCCATCTGCCTTTCCGAGGTGCCCGGCTCTTGGGGAAACATTCTGCAAATGGCTCAGCCTGCGCACCTCTACCGCGCGCCCTCTCTCCTCTGACCTTACTCCCGTAACCCACCCAAACCCCTTTGAATTACACGAGCTTCTGCTTTCGTACAACTGCATGCGTCGGTACCTGCGTTAGGTAGCGCATTCCTCTCCTGTCCTGCCGAGCAGCTCAGCAATGAAAATACTGAATCCTACCGCTCTGAAAAACACCCTCCTGCTCAAGCCTGCTCTGTGCTCCCGCTTTGGCAGGGAAACAGAGCTCTTCAGAGCTGCAGTCTCGCAGCCATTCATCTCTTGCATTCAACCTTTTCCTTGGCAAAACCCCTTTCGAGCTGCAAGCTGAATTACGCTGACGGCAAACCAGCTCCAGGGTGATCGGCTCGGGGTTTGGGAGTTGCCACATGCAAATCATCCCTTTGGCAAGGGAAAAAATTATCCAGTTGCCAGCCAGACGGGGGCCGTTCCTTAACCCCTCTTAGGTACCTTCAGCCCAGTATCTTACAAGACCGACAGCAAAGCTCTTAACAGGCATTTCCACCGGTACTAAAAGTGCTGTCCTTCTGGCCTTTAAGATACAGAATCGCACGTGTTGCTGTGAAATCTGCCCAGTACACCAGAGCCTCTTTCCTTCAGGGATCTTCTCCCTGTCAGCTTGGAACCGACTTGGTACTCACGTGGCAGACAGGAGAGGGGCCAGAGCCATCTTCACCTTCCCCTTAGCACAGACCACCCAAAGCCTGGGCAGGGCATCAGCCCTGAGTGCTGTTGGAAGGCTCCCCCTCCAGCAGGGCCTGCAGCCTCTCCGGTGCTGCAGCAGCTCGGCCTGGCTGCCCTGGGGTTGCCTCCAGAGCCCTCTCCCACAGACACAAGGCAGGTGGGTTTTTCCAGGTCCATGCTCCCGGGGAAAACACAAGCCTTACCCTCTACGGACCGGTCACTTCACCTTTGCATTTCACACCTCACACTACGCCAGTGTTTACTGAACATCACTTGGCTTCACGTACAGCTGAGCACTCCCGTGTTTCTGCTCTCCCACCACATCCCACCCACCCAGCAAGGCCCCCAGGCCGCAGCACAGGACAGCTGTGTGGCTCCAGCAGCGCGTGCTCCCGTCTGCAGAGACACACGCTGTGCAGCTCTGTTCTAGGTGACTGTAAGATGATTGTCCCTGACCGTGCGCCGAAGGCAAACATTCCCATGCAGCGCAATCCCCTCTGTTGCTTCCAGGTTATCAGATGCAGAGCTGCTGTTGCCTGGGCCGTGGGCAAGCCACTCTCTGTTGAGGAGGTGGAGGTTGCACCTCCAAAGGCAGGTGAAGTCCGTATCAAGGTAAAAACACGTTTCAATATTTTTTTTTCTGCCTTGTGGGAACTGCTCTTCTTGTGGTTATACCTTGAATATACCTGTCAGGATCTGTGTCCACTAACAGGCCTTAACTGTCCAGAGAAGCCCTGTGAAAAATCCTTCCAAAAGCTGAGTTAAACAGAGGCCAGACCATTTCTAAAGCTCAGCTGCTCTTTCCTCTCCAAACAGATTGTGGCCACAGGCATCTGTCGCACAGATGACCACGTTTTGGAAGGTTGCTTTCCTAATGTGGATTTCCCAGTTATCCCAGGCCACGAAGGAGCTGGGATTGTGGAAAGCATTGGAGAAGGCGTGACCTCTGTGAAACCAGGTAAGACACACGCACACAAACACACGCCCGGGAGTCAGCTCTCAAAGTGGACGAGGCTGCCCAGAGCTCAGAAATTCCCCGCTGCTCCCACGTCAGTGCCTCAAAACCTGAGTGCACGCTTATTGCGCTGGACCGTCACATACACCTCTCCCTGCTCTGTTCCCCATGCACACGAGCAGGGCTCTGAGCGCTTCCTCCTGACGGAGAAAGCAGAGGGTTCGTGGTAGGATGCAGCCACTAGAAAGCTCAGCAGAGGCGCTCCAACAGGCAGCACCCTCAGGGCCTCTGAGCGAGAGGCACCTAACAGGGATCTGCTTTGTTGCAGGAGACAAAGTCATCCCCCTTTGCCTTCCACAGTGCG